TGTATATATATATATATATATATATATATATATACACACACACACATACATACTTCCTGAGTGCTTCTGTCCTTTGGACTCTAATTAAATCAGCACAGAAGCTTGATTTAATCAAACAAGTCTGAGCTAATATGAATGCTTTTTAGGAAGCAACTGTTAATAATAATAATAATAATAATAATAATGAAAGTTAATTTTAACATGCAAAAATGCATCTCATGTAATTTAGAGCTTGAATTGGATGATTCTTCTAATGGAAAAATCCCAAACATAACCCAATATACTACAAAAAGGCAAAATTAAGACTAAGTAAAGAGATTCTGCGTCATACTATAGTAATTTAATTGCAAACAGCTAAATCTAAAATGACTAAGCCCAAATCAAGTATATTCTAAGCAGCTTGAACTAAACATGAAAGGAAAAACAAAACAAAACCATAAACCAACATGGAAAGTTGCTTCCAGTCATAGAAGTGACTTTTGTGTATGTATTTTAACTTGTGTGTGTGTGTGTCGTCTTAATGATATTTTATCCTTAAAGTTATACAGGACTAGATTCTGCCATCCTTACTTCATAAGGATGAAATCAATAGAACTAGTCACTGAAGATGGTTTTATTCCACATGAGTAAGGGCGCCAGAATGCAGCTTCGAGTAATTTATTTGACTTTGTTTATATAACACCATAGGTATCTGTGATGCTATACAGAAAAATAAGTGACTTTCTCTGCTCCAAGGAGTTTAATAACTAAATGTGATAGATCAAGGGATGACATTACAAAGAGGGGTTGGGGAGGCACATGGAAAAAATGCTTCATATGTCTGTAGATTTTTATTAACAAATGTGATTTATTTAACACTTTATGACAAATTTAAATTCAAAACCAAAATATTAAAACATATAAAATGTTAAAGATCTAGCAACAAAAATATTATTCTGAAAATACCAAAAAAACCTCTGTGCTTTCAGCATTGTTCTTTCAAATACTGTGTTTCTTCACTAGAAACCTGTCAGCTGCAAAGCTTCCACATTTTAGGTCCCATTCAGTTAAAAATCCATTATCAATGTCTTTAAAACATGTGAAAACCTTGAATAGCCATGTAGCCACAGAGCACTCACTGTAAGTACCTAGAAATAAGAACTCCGATTTGTTGTTGTTCAAGGGCCAAATCCTCAGCTGGTGCAAAATGGTGTAACTTCATTGCCCACAGCTATGTACAGAAGCTGATGATCTTGTCCAAGTCCATAGTCACTGCAAATTATTTTGTTGTTATACATCCATACAGTAGAATATTATATCTATTAATTGTTCTATTATAATTCTTTATTACAGGGAACACAACTTTTAAAATTTATATTTATGCATGATAATATGCTGGTCTCTATTTAAAAATATCTAACTCTGAATATTTAAAAGAAAACTAGGAGTCAAATTCTGGCACTATGTGAAAGAAATGGCCTCTAAAGTGCAGACACATGGTGAAAAAATCATACTGTTTCCTGCCTGTAGTCTGGCCAGCAGCAACCATGGACCACATATACATTATTCCTACTAGGAGTACAGGGCGTTATGTAGAAGGGCCAATGCTGGGTTAGGGGACATAAGTGCATGAACATGTGAACTATACTGATCTAATGACCCCACTCTGGAATGTTCCTTTGTGGCTCCTGCAGATGCTGTGATTTATGGGAGAATGGAAGGAATTGGGTAGCCGATTGTGCCCTGTAGTTCTGGGTGTGGGTTTCCTTGCAGTCTGCAGTGTGGGGAACCTGCCAGAATTTGGCTCCAAAACTGTATTTGGGACTAGATCTTTCTCCAACTGAAGTCAGTGGCAAAAATTTCACTATTTCAATGGTCTAGAATCAAGACCTTAGTATTCATCCCTAATAAGGACAGAGTATTTAGTTGTGAACAAATCACTGATGTGATATATTTACTTAGTAGGACTTTTGCAGTGTAGAAGTGAAAGGATTTTCACCTCCCAACCCTCCAAGGTAGAATAATTACCACATTTTCTACTGTGCGTTACAGTTTTAAAATGTCAGATTTAGAATTGCAATGACTTGACAGTGTCTATTTAATAAACACCTGAAGTAAAACATTAGCTAAAGTTCTGGATCCCAAATATAACTCTCAATGACACTTCTTTAGCAAATGCATAGTTATATTTTTAACTGCTAGCATGGTCTCTGTACAAGTGGGTTTGATCAGAGTCTCAGGAAGTAAAAATCCAAAATGGCCAGTGTCACGCAGCTCAAATGCAAATGCATAGGGGATGCCATTTTTGTAGGCCCAGTCCATAGAACTACCAGAGCTCACATCTGGGGAAGAAAAAAAAGTATCATGATTTGTTTGAAATATACTGTTATCATAATATTGTATTTAAGACTCTTACTGAGTACTTACAACTCAGGGCCTTATCTTCCAAGGTGCTGAGCACCCTCATCTCCCAGAGAAGTTCACGGGCATCCAATATCTCATGGAAGGGACTTAGCATCATATATGATTAGGCCCACAGTTAACATGGGAAAAATCTAATAATTATCTTTTATGTAAAAAGCTTTCACACCAGGAATATTTTTCTCTCTATTCTCTTTTCTCCTACCTCATTTACTGAACACCTATAGTATAGTTCAGAACACTGCTGTACAGAGCTTCAAGGACGATGCTGTCCCTGTCCCCAGGTGATTGCAATCTAAGGCCTCAGCCCTGCAAAAGTGTCCATCCATGCAGACCCTTTCTTTGCATGGTCCAATTGACTTCAATTGGACTCTTCATGTATTTAAGAACACATTGCAGGATCAGGGTCTAAGAAGACGAAGTAGACTAAACTTTTCCTTTAATTTTTTTTTCCAAAAATCATTTCCATCCCTTCTCTATTTTCCATGGTTTGCTCAGTGCATAATAACATTTGCAGGGATGGTGGTTAACACTGATAAACCTCACAGAAGAACTGTGTTCCTCATACTTTTTCCTTGCCTCTATATTTTAATTATCATGTATACTTAGATAAAGATTTTTATAGCCTATTTTCTTCAACGTGATCCTAACCATTAAGTCCCAATGCTATACTTGTGATATGGCAAAAGACTGTATAGTTATAACACAATCTTATCACTCTGCTGAAGGACTAAGCACAAAGAGAAAGTGAGTTGTGAGGAAAGGTGAAAAATGCTTTACTGAGCACATCTGTATCAGTAGCAGGAAATAAAGAAAACTATCTTGCTATATTTATAAAATGCTGTTTTAAGCCTGTCCTAACTGAGTAAATTCCATCTTCAAATGGTTATCAAATCAAAGGGTCCTAGTGAAAAGTTTATATGGTATTGTAGAAAACTATTGAACTTTTCCCTTACTAACCTCCTGAGAGAGCTCAGCTGACAAACATTTTGTTAGCTAAAACCCAAGCTTTAAAGATCCTTTGCCCTTGGGGGAAGAATAAGCATTTGAATTCAATATCATTTTTTTTTAAAAGAAGATTTCCAAATACAGATGCACTTGCTATTATTTATTCTCAATGAAAAACTGGGATATTCTAAATCCAGCTTTTAAAAAGACCACCTCAGTTTCTGAATGAACACCATGTGCAGTGATATCTCAATTACAAGGGGAGAGAGCGAGAGCATGGAAATGTTTACTATGAATTATTTTTCTCTCAATCTCAAGATTTAACTGTTAAATATCCTGTTTTGAAGTTTTCTATTGATCTTTATGTATGCTAAAATTTACTGCAGCTCACTGGACATGTTCCTCGTCTTTCTTCTTTTCTCGCTAGAAACTGTTGCATTTATCTCTGCCATTGCAGATGGATTTAATCAGTTACATCTTCCCCTCTGCCTTCCTCACCTGCCACAATTTGATCAAAGTTCACTTTAGACAAGATTTGCTTCCTTTGTTATAGTACAGGCCGCCCCATATACCATATCTAGGTCAAAGTAACAAACCAGTTTATGAGAGAAACTTACACAAAGTGCTAGAAGCAGGGCCATATCTGTATCTTATACCATAAGCGGACTGAAGAGCATTAACAGCATTATAAGCTGCAGATTCCTGTATATGGGAGGAAACAATAAATACTTTAGATTTCACATTAATTTCTGTAATAGGATTGGAACTTCAACTACAGAACACTTACTCCTAATGCAATACTAGGTCAGATGATCCTCCTAATGCAATACTAGGTTTTATGATCCTGTGGAGCCTAAGTTACCATATTTTCAGGAGAGCTGGCAGTTTTTCAAAGAGACAATATTAAGGACAAAACAGCTTGCTATCTCACTGTGAAGGAAATATAACAAGAGGCCAATATGGCTGCTTCAGAAACTTTTCAATCACCTAAAAATCAAAATGGAACCTTGCAAAAAATGGATAGGTGGACAAATTGCTAAGGATAAGTACAAAACAATACTCAATAACAGAAGCAAATCAGAAAGGCTTTGGCACAAGTACCGTAAGTTACACCTAGCAAGGGACATAAAAGGCAGTAAGAAAAGGTCCTATAAATATATTAAGAGCAATAGAAAGATGAAGGAAAGTGTAGGTCCACTACTTTCCAGGGAAGGAGAGCTACCCTGTTTCCCCGAAAATAAGACA